ATAAAAATGAAGAGAGAGAAAAACGAAAGAAAGAAAGAGAGCAAGAACAATTTCTGATAGATTATTGAACTGATTATAACAGGGATTGATGGTGGACGTCGGTGAATGTGAATAAGTGTTTATTCAGTTGAGGGCAGCAACAGAAATGATCAAAGGGGAAGGTCAGCAGTAGCGCTTCGACCAAGATCAGCGGATCAAAATTCATGTTCATATTATCAAATAAAGAATATGATTATGAGAAAGAACGAAATAAATGTAATTAGTATTGTTTCGTGGGAGCAATTAAGTTTTTTTTTTGAAATCCATGTGCCCTCCTATTTGCCTTCCTCCCCCTCCCCCCTCTCGCTCCCCCTTGCTTCGCTTCACCTCCCCCCCCCTCCCCCTCCCCACCTCTTTTATCCATGCGGCACGAACCTCGGGAAAGAATTCTATTGGAAATCTTCCGGAGAGGAAGCCGAGAGTTGGCGGATCCGTTCGAGGGTAAGAAAGGAGAGCGAGAGAGAGAGAGAGAGAGAGAGAGAGAGAGAGAGAGAGAGGAGGGAGGGAGGAGAGTGGGAGGGGAGGGAGAGGGAGGAGAGAGGGGAGAGGGAGAAAGATAGGAGGAGGGAGGGAGTGAAGAAGGAAGGAAGGAAGGAAGGAAGGAAGGAAGGAAGGAAGGAAGGAAGGAAGGAAGGAAGGAAGGAAGGAAGGAAGGAAGGAAGGAAGGAAGAAGGAAGGAGGGGGAAGGAAGGAAAGTTGGAGGGAGAAGGCAGATAATTAGGGAGAGAGAAGAGAGGAGGGAGGAAGTGATAGACGGAGGAGAGAGAAGAGAGTAGAAAAAGTGGGGGATGGAAAGATAGGGAGATGAAGGAAATGCCACAGACAGAAGGAGAAGAGGAGAGAGAGAGAAACAGACAGACGACAGAGATGGGGTGTGCGAGGTTTGGCGGGACGGAGGAAGAGAGAGAGCGCGAGAAGGAAGAAGAGGAAGTGGGTGAGTGAGAAATAGTGTGGACACACGGGTCTGGCTGTGACAGGGCCCCCCCTCCCCCCACATCATCTCCAAGGAAGATGGAACTGGTCTGGGCGCCGAATATGAATTTTTTGCAAGATTTGTTTTTATTGCAGGCGAGAGGCAGACGTTGCGTTCAGGAGGGACGAGAGGAGAGGGAGAAGAAGGGGAGAGAGTGGTTTTGTTTAGGCCACGTGGGGGAGGGGGGAGGGAGGGAGGTTGTGCTCAGGGTGTGTGTGGGGGGAGAGGGGAGGAGGGGCATCCTTTGCGTCCGTCGGGGAAAGTCCCGCCTTCGGGAGTGAACAGGAAAACATAAAACGCCTCGATGTTGGAATTCTCTAAGCGGATGAGGATGGGAACAGGTACATAGATCGAATATTTTCTTGTGGAAAGCGAATGGTAGAGAGGAACGAAGTGGAGCAAGAGGAAAAGAGTCAATATGAAGGGGAGAAGGCAGAACGAAAGGGAGAGACGAGGGCAGCAGCAGAGGGAAAGCAAGGAATTAATAAATCCGACAGCGGAGTCTCGGTGCCGTCTTCTCGGGCGGTTAAAGGGCACAGTCGCCCTCGCCCTTCGCAGGGACTCGGCCCGGCCTACTTCTGCTCCTGCTCCTCCTGCTGCTTCTACTCCTATTAATGCTACTCCTTCTGCTGATTATTACAATTATTATTATTATTATTATTATTAAATTTATTATTACATAACAGAATTTGAAGTGTAAGGATATTCATGATTTCTGCGTCCACGTGAAGTGGAGTCTTAGGCTTGGGGCAGTCGTGTGATGTCCAGGGAGGGAGAGGTGGCAGGGGTAGGGGAAGGGATAGGGGTAAGGGAGGGGGAGGGGAGGGGAGGGGCTAGGATCCGAAGGGCAGAAAAGGTACGAATTTCTGATTATATTTGGAATTCTCCAAGTTCTCTTAACAGGTGTTTACATTGTGCCACGGTGACTGTGGAGAAGAAATTGTTTTTCTTACTATTGCTAGTATTATTGGTATTATTATTGTGCTATCATTATAGTTGTTATTATTGTATAATTATTATCTTTATTATTATTAATGTCACTATTATTATTATTGTTATTACTGTTATTGTTATTATTGCAATTGTTGTTATCACCATCTTCATCATCATCATCATCATCATCATCATCATCATCATCATCATCATCACCATCATCATCATCACCATCATCATCATCATCATCATCATCATCATCATCATCATCATCATTGTATTTATATATTTCTTTCTTTTTCTTTTTTATACTGTATTTTCTGTTCCTTCGTCCATATGATGGCGTTGATTCAAGGATTTACCCCGAGATGGCGTGGACATATTCATAAAAAGTGAAAGAAATTTGCGACGTTAAACATATTAATCAAAGGGGGAAATGAGAGAAAGGTGTCATCTGCAGCAAAATATTTCCAGAGGCATAACTTCCGCTCAGTTTCCCAACTTGGGGCGTTTTGCAGGGCTTCACTATTCTATTTTTTCTTTTCCTTTTATTTTGATTAGCATAAACTTTCGACCAGCTGTGAGAATTTGTTTTTTTCATCTGAATCTAGCTATTACTAGATATTACCCGGATGTATGAGGAAGTCCAAAATTTAACCTCGTTGTTGTATCATGTTTTCGTAAATAGCTATGGTTTGGATGTTCTCAAACTGCATAATTGCGCGGTTGTCTTCGTCTGATTGAAGGTTATCGCCCCTGAGCTTCGATCGCAGTCGCGAGAGTCACGGCAAAGCATCTCGCCCGGTGGCTGGCCGCAGAGGGTTGCCGTCACGGGTCTTGGATGGCGCCCAGGCAGTGAAGAGTAAAGAGAAAAATTAAATGAATAGATAAAATGATACATTTGATAGATATGATGGATAGGTAAGTAAATAAATTGAAGGAGTAGATTTATTGATAAGTGAATGAATAGACAGATAAATTAGATATACAAGTGATAACACAAACTCAGGTGAATTTCCAACAAGGTTCCGCGTTCTCCTCTCACTCCGAGGCGTAAGTTCCCGCCAGGAGGAAGACAAATGACGACTGCATTTTCTCGAAGCAACTTGTTCCTTCTTGGGTTTTATTGAAAAACTTTTGGCGGGAAACTTGTCTCATATTGTCGCTCTGATAAGTCTGCATTTGCAAAGGTAACTTTTTGCAAACCAGGGTACGGTAGAGTGCTTGTTGGGAGAAGTCGGCAGGGGGAGGGGGGAGGGGGAAAGGGTAGGGGAAGGGAAGAAAGGGTAGGGAGAGGGGGAAGGGGAGGAAGGCAGGAGGGTAAAAGGGTAGGGGGAGGGGATGGGGAAGGGAAGGCGGCTGGGTGTGCGGAAGAGATTGGAAGGGAGGGGTATTGGGGAAGGAAAGGGAGGGGAAGAGAGGCGGTAGGATATGCATTAGAGGAGCAGGGAAAAATTAAGCTGTATTTGCAGGACAGAAAGGGTATCAGGCTGAGGCGAAGGGAGGGTAGCGTGAGGGGAAGGGAGGGGAGGGTGGCAGGTTGTGCGTAGAGCAGAAAGTTAGGAAAGGAGGGAGAGCAATGGAAGAGCAGAAACAGAGGGGATGAAGCGAAGGGGAAGCGCAAGGGAGAGCCAGACTTGCCTCACGAGCGACTGCGGGATGAATGGACGAGCCGGGGCTTGGGCCGCGGGCTGGGGCGGCGCGACGGCTGCCTCTTCTCTGCTTTGGTGTGTTACTACTTTGTCGTTATTCCATTTTTGGCGCGCAGTGTAGACCTTCCGCATGAGACTTATTTTCGAGCAGAAGTTGAAACGCGGGTTGGATTGGCGTTGAAGAATTGTTGGTTTTGTGATTAGTTTTCTTTTTTTCTTCCTTTTTACGCAATCCACGTTATCAGTGGGGCAACGTTGCTACTTTTAGGATTTAGGGATTACTAGGATGTTTAGATATTAGTGATAATGATATTTTGCTGTAGCTTTATGCCTTTCTTATATGGTACAGTGATTATCAGTGTTATTGTTATTGTCTTTATCATCGTCATCGTCATCATCCCCATCACCTTATCATCATCACCATCATCTTGCAACCTTTATGGCGCGGGCTTAGCAACACGTATAATATAATGATGTTGCAAACAGGGAAATATTGGGAAAAACAGGTCTCGCGGCATCTTGGTCCACATTCCTTATTCTAGAGAGGGAGGTCAACACGTGCATCAAAACACGTAAACACGCACAGACTAATGCACACACGCAGTTACATACATACGCGCACGCTCTCTTGCACGCATGGAGTTCCACATTCACTTTCACGCTTATTCACTCACTCTTATTCTCACTCTCTCTCACTTTCACACACACACACACACACACACACACACACACACACACACACACACACGCACGCACGCACGCACGCACGCACGCACGCACGCACACACACACACACACACACACGCACGCACACGCACGCACCACGCACACACACACACACACACACACACACACACACACACACACACACACACACACACACACACACACACACACACACACACACACACACACACACACACACACACACATACACACACACACACAGGCATATTTACATAGTCAATGTACTCTTGGTCTAGACGAATTTGTGTTGCTAGTGAGGGAGGGAGGGAGGGAGGAGGAGGAGAGGGAGGGGAGGGAGGGAGGGAGGGAGAGGGAGGGAGGAGGGAGGAGGGAGGGAGGGAGGGAGGGAGGGTGGAAGGGAGGGAGGGAGGAGGAAGGAAGGAGAGGGAGAAGACGAAAAGAAAGAAGGGGCGGAGACAGAGCCAGAGCCAGGCGGGGGACGAAGTTGGTAGTGCCAGCGACGGCCGGCCGCAGCGCCGAGGCAGCCCCTACGGCGCCGTGGCTGCCCCGAGGAGCGAGGGCGACCATGACCACAGCAGCTCACCTTCGTCATTCCCAGCGCCGAGGACTGCAGGACACGCACTCAGAGGAGGAGGGAAAAACCTGTTTAGCGTGTGCGTCCCCGCCCTTTTTGCTTGATATTGGCGAATATGGGCTTAATTGTGGGGGTTGTTGCTGACGTGGTGGGTGGTGGTGGTGGTGGAGGGGTGTGGTGGTTTGGTCGGGTGCGATGGGGTGGGGTGGTGTAGAGGGTGGGGATGTGTATTGTGTTGGTAGGTAGTGTGGTATGTTTGGGTGGTGTGTTGTGGGGTGGTATGTCTAGGTGGTGTTGTATGGTGATGAGGTGGACGCCGAAGTGGTTGTGATGACGATGGTGCCACGGCCAGGGGATCGTAGAGTAGCAGGGGTTTAACAATACCAGGGTGCAGTGGCACGGGAATGGGTGACAGGGGCTTTGACATGGAGGTGTGAAGGTGCCATGGCGTGGGGGCTGGGAATGGGTGCCAAGTTGGGAGACATAGAGCGGAAGAAGCGGGATGGGGAACTGAGAGTGGAAGACAAAGGTAGAAGGCAAATGTCAGGATACATGCGGTGGAAGGCATGGGTTAAAAGATTGATAACAGACAGAGTGGAAGACAGGTTTGAAGCCCCGGGTTGGAAGTCGCTCTAACCTAAACCGTCTATTCAGGGAAACATCCCTGGTTATATAAACTTGCTCTTCATGTATTTGCACAAGAACCTTAATCGCGAAGTCCAGTTTTATCGACTCGTGAAAAAGACTGACATGAGGCCCGCCAAAGGCTCGTGGGTTGTTCCTTAAAGCAGAACGCCTCGCACGCACCTCATCGAGGCCTTGATCCAGCTGGAATAAATCAGGACACACGCGAGGAGAGTGCCATAAGGAATGAGCGGAATGGCGACTCGATCTCGCATCGCGTGTGTGAGCAGAGTGAAGTTATCCGTTGATCTGGGTGTGTGTGCTCCCCCGCGTCCTTGCTTGCGGCCATGCCCTCAGTGCTTGCGTCGACGTTGGTATTGCAAGGAGGCCGGAGTGCATGGCGCTTGCTGCGTGTGCCTCTGACCCGCGACGCGAGGTTGCTTCGCTGGGCTCTGTTCGAGCCCCCGCGGCAGCCCGTCGGAGAGAGGGGCTCGCAGTGTTGCCAGCGCCCGGCCCAAAGGGAACCTCTTATGCCATGTTCAAAACTTGCGGCTGGATGTCATGCCGTTTTTGAAATGCTTTTTATTCGTGGCGGCGGATGGCAATCCTTGGGGCCCAAAGCGGCGCGATTGCCGGATTTGTGTGGCGTAATCGAGAGGGAAAATTGGCAGGCCTGATGCAGCTGCCAGTTTTTATATTCCATGGCCATTTTTGGAGGCGGCTGATGAGCGGCAACAGATGATATAGCCAAAGCGATGCGGCCGTAGCAGGCCATGTGGCGGCCTCGTTGTGTAACCTTCCACTCCCTCGGCACAGCCCGCCGCAAACCTCGTGTCTACCTGGCGTAGCCAACTCGTTAGAAAGAGCGAAGAAGCATAAGGGGCCATGTAAGTGTCCATAATGCCTTACCCACCTTAATGGCACAACGAGTTTTATTCCCGGGCTCGTACACCCTGCGAGGCATCATAAAGATGGACCAGAGCCTGAGATCCGCACTCGGGGAGAAAGAGAACAAAGGGACGGTCTCGGTGCTCGGCTCAAGCACAGGTGTTTTGCGGGAGGAACCCACTTGTCAATTGATTATTATCTTGCCCCAAACCTGACGGCCTTTAATCGGCCCATTCTCGAGGCAGGTTGCGGACCATCTCTTCTTGCATGACCTACCCTTTTCCCGATGGCATGATGAATGCAGTCCGCCCTGCAGTCAGGTCGCCGCACCGTCGCCGCCCCCGACTCGCAGCGTACTCGGTCCCTGTCTTGCGTAACCGCCGCATCCTCATTCTCACGGCCGATCCCTGACGTCGGTCCGCTCGAGCGCTGCCATCTGTGAATCGCCGGCGGGCGTCAGTGCGGAAGGGCGGCGCAGTTACTCGCAGCTCTTCACAGGGTTCATGCGCGGACACCGCTACAGTTTGATTTGGAAATAACCTGTGAATGTGATATTGTGTAGAATGGAAGCAGCCCCGGGTACTTTAGCATGCACGGCCAATTTCGCACAACCGCTCATCAGCCAGAGCCGGGCCTCCATTACTGGATTACCGGGCGCCCACTCATCCGACACGAGATGTAGTCACGTGATCCGGCGTCGCCCCCGGCCTCCTCCAGCGACCCCTCCCTCCAGCGCCTCCGACACGAACGCGTGATTGAGGGCGGCGCGAGTTAGACATGCCAGACGTCGATTCTCTCTCGGCAGAGAGGGAATCGACGATGCGCGGGAGGACGAGGAGGCCGCTCCTCCGCCACGGCGTTCTCGGAGGCGAGGACACGTGGAAATGGAAATGAGATCAGGAATGGGAGTCGAGCACTCGCCTCCCCCTGACTTTATGATAAATGCATGTAACTGCACGCAGAGCTGGAACAGGCGCCGCCTTCCTCTTCTGTAAAGCCTTACCGTGCTCCTCGAGGCGTGACATGGCGCCGCTGAAGCCCCGAACCAATGCATCTCAACGGCTGTAATTAAAGCGTTACGCGGAAGCTCCGGCCAGGATTTATTTACTCGCTTGTTTGGTTTCGATTTTACGGCCGTTTTGGAAAGGGTTGAGAGAGACAGCTGATCAGAGACGAATTCGAATTGGACTTTATCAAGTCGTCAGAGTTGTGGATTGATTAAACATATGAGAGTGCTACATCAATCACTGCGGGGTCTGAAAGTCCAGCTTACTTTGGCATATATGTGCGTATTCCATAATGCGAACTCGTATGTAGAATAGGTATGAATGAGAATGGATATCTTCACAATTAAATGGATGTATTTGACCGGTTTCGATTCTGTCTTCGTTAGAAGATAGAATCGAAACCGGTCAAATACATCTCTTGTATTGTGAAGATATCCACTCTCATTCCTAGCTTTCCTACATTTGTCAACATGAATACCAGCGTGACGCGTGGGAGAGGAAGCTGGAACGATTATATGGATATATACTGCTGTGCGAAAGAAGAACTGCTAAACAGCGTCTCATAACTCCGGCCCCTGTTGATCCCCCGACCTCGCCGTCCACTGCATTCCTGGCCCCTCCCCCTCCCCCCTCCTCATTTTAACAGGGGCTAGATGCCTCTCGCCCATTGACTGGGAATCGCGGGAATGAGTGGCAGGAATGCAAAATGAAGCGCCGAATGCACTGAGTGGTGCAATGGGCTTCAATTTTCCCGAGCGCCATTTGACACGGGTTCGTGTCGGGTGTTCTGCTGGTTAGTAAAGGGATTTGTTATAGGTTGAGGATGTTATGTTTGTAATTTCAAAGGCAGGGAAGAAAGGAGGCGCCGGCGCGGGCGGGCAGCGGCAGGCAGGCAGGCAGGCAGGCAGGCAAGCAGGCAGGCAGGCAGGGAGGCAGGCAGGCAGGCAGGCAG